AAATATTTATATATGTATATATTCTTAAATATATGATCTTTTTCCTTTTTGACTCTTATGCTTCTTTTCTTTATCTTCTCTTTTTCTGTCCTCCCTCTTCTCGTGTTCTTCTTTTGTACGCGTTCCCGTCCTTTGTGTTGTTGTGTTTTTCTCTGTGTCTGTTTGTGTCTGTCTCTCTCTCTCTCTCTCTCTCTCTCTCTCTCTCTCTCTCTCTCTCTCTCTGACTTCGCGTGCGGCGCGCAAGAACGAACAGCGCTTCTTTTCCTGCCCTTAGGTCTGCATAAATAGGATTTTTTTGCACTCGCCAAAGCGTCTCCGGGGATGTCGCTATGTGCTTCTCTTGCGCGTAGGCCGAGGCCGAGGTCTTCTACTGCTTTAGCGAAGTAATGCAGCAGCAACGCGATGCCTTCTGTAAAGCTCTTGATCCGACGGATGCTGGAGTGCGTGGCCGTCTCGCGCGTCTGGACGCCTTGATTCGACACCACGTGCGCCTGGGGGGACGAAGGGGAGCACAAGGGGGGGAGGGGGGGAATGGGACTGGAGGGGGCATGGGAGGCGGCTCTGTGCTGCATGAAGTACCGTCGAGTGAGAGGCGTAGGTGGCGTGCTCACACACTAGGATCTCGGTGAATGAGCTGGGTTTTTTCCTTAGGACGAGGAGATTTGGATGCATCTCAACTCCCTGGGCGTTGAGCCGCAATTTTACGCATTGCGATGGCTGCTGCTGATGCTGACGCAAGTAAGCGAAGGGCCGTTGTCACCTCGAATCCTATGGTGCTCAGCAGATGCATCTAGCCGATCGTTGTAGCTGATCACCAGCCTATGGACGCAGGCCCCTTCGCCGAGGTGATCTGGATGCAGCAACATGCATTGAGCATCTCCTCCTGTGTTGCGCTTGCAGGAGTTTGAAATGCCGGATGTGCTCTCCCTATGGGACAGCTTTATAGCGGACTCGGGGCGGCCGTTGCCACTGCTGTATTACGTTTGTGTTGCGATGATTATTTGGGTGAGGGCAAATGTGGCGTTTGCTGCCTCGGCTCGCAATGCGAAGCCGCTTGCCTGGCAGTCCGCCGGACCCGTCGCTTCGGCTTCTCGCCGTAAGCCTTACTGCAAGGCACTTCGAACTGCGCCTGCGCATGTGCTCCTCTGATCGTGCAGCTCAAGCCAGCTCTATTAGCCGGAGATTTTACAGCCTGCATGAAGCTGCTGCAGCACCTGCCGTCCTTTGACCCGAAGGCCCTCCTTAGCTCAGCCATGCGGCTGCGGTGAGTCCGTATCTGTTCTGTAGCGTAGCAGCTAGCTGCCTCTAACTCTCGAAATAGGCATGGACCTTCGGCGAATGTTGTCGCATCGAGCGGGTAGCTGATAATGATTTCTTCTGCCATTGTTGCCGGTGCAGCGCCGACGACCTGCTGGGCAGTCGGTCCACAGTCCGGAGCGCACCGACGGCAGTCGCGGAGGGAGTGGCTGAGAGGGATCTGAGGGAAATGGCCCCTTTCCAAGCTGTAGATTCCCAGCCCGCGAAGCCCTTTCCCCCTGCGGGTTCTCCCTTCACCAGCAGTGAAGGTTTTGCATCCGCACACAGCGAGGTGCCGCTTCGGAGGGGTGCTGACTGGGCACTAGGGGAAGCGAGGGCGTGGAAAGTGGAGACTCAAGCAGCGAATGCACATCGCAGTAAATGGATGATGCCGAAGGACTCCATAGATAACTCGGAAGCTGCATTGGGGCATCTTAAGCGCCTTGCTGGCGTGGGTGTAGAACACGCATACAAAGGCGCTAGTGTTGTGTCGCAATATCTCAGCAACTCCGGGTTGGCGCAAGGTCTGGCCTCCAACATTACATCTTTCTTCTCGTCAGAGCCTGGAGCTAGCAGCCCAACATTATCGGTAGCACCGAGTGGAAAGTCAAGCACTGCGGAAGTGAGGCATTCGGCGGCATCTGACATCGGAGAGTTGTCCTCCCCGACAGTGCGGCGCGGCCAGACACGTGACCTCCATCCGGCGGGTTATGGTTCTTCAGCTGCAGTTGCAGCAGTTAAGAAGGGTCGCAGGGAGGACTCTCCGCCCACGCTAATAGAGTACTCCAGTTCCCCCCAAACGCGTATTGCTAGTGGCGAAGCAAAGCATTCTCCAGGTGCACAGCCCAGCTTCTCGCGACTGGAACCGCCGATTCCAGAAGACTTGTGGATAGCTGACCCTCCACCGTTCACGGGCGAACGACGCCTCGACTCAGATGAGCCCCTGAGCACACCTCGTAGCACAGACACTAATGAATCCAACTCTTCTTCGGGGAATGGTGTACGCATCACTATCCTCTAACCGGGCGGTTAGTTGTGCCCGCTGGCTAAACATCGATAGACAATAATCTTGGCACTTTCAAGCTTCCCTGTCGCGATCAGAAAGCTTTGTGAAGAGTAGCCGTAAGCAAATATACTTTAGGTTAAAAGCACAGCATTGTGTTACTAAAACGGAGACTTAGTGTACAAGGGTACTGAACCCTCTGTTTAACATGAAACAGTAGAACCGGATAGAAATGCGAGATGCCAACCTTTAAAGCTTAAGAAGGGATGTGCAGTCAGACGAGTGGTGAGAAGTGCTGTGTGCTGCTGTGCCCTTTGTTGCTCAAAAACAAGGAAGGCTCATGCAACGGGCATGCCAGGCCATACCACTAGATAGTTGCCCCTAGACTTGATACAGTCAATTGGAATTTTCTATTTTACCGACTTGGTTTGGTTGCTGCCGCATTCCGCTTTCCGCAGCGCAATGTTAGCTGCACATTCAGAAGCAGGCTGTTTTTATGGATACACTGCTTGACGTTGTGGAAGAATATCGAGAGTGCTCCAGGGATTAAATGCGCGCAGCACCGCTGATGCTCCTCTCTTACTGTTGAAGATATCTATTTTTGAGGTCAAAGAGAGTCATACTATTCCTAGAATATACCAGCAATAGCGGTCTCCGATATTTTTATAGGGCTATGGGGCTCCTCATGGGGGTTTGCCGAGTGGGTTGAAACGAGTTTGGAATTGACAGATAGTGGGGGCTTCTGAAACCAGCACGTTCTTGGCAGACGTAGAGGGAGAAGCCACACGTATCTAACCCTCGCTTTGTTACGAGTGAGGGCTACACCCTCCATCCGCACAGGTTTTGAGAGTGTGGGAAATAGGCTGGCTTCACTGCGAGGTTTGCGCCAAGTGCCTTTGCATATCTGGTCGACAAACGTTTTTAGCCTTTCAAATCAGGATATATAGCATAGATTCTATTCACCTTAGCATAACTGCATACGTATATGAGCCGCTGTAACTACATATGCAGCAAGTCTTTTGCAGGTTTGGTGCCCTGACATGCAGGAAATAATGGCAATTCCAAAGGCCGTTCCCATAAATGGCTCTATAAACGGTAGAGCATAGTTGAACCTTCGCACCCTCTGGACTGCTACAGCAAACTGTAGAGCAACTCCATGGTCACTCGGATTACGGCACACACATATGTACAGCGGGGCTGTAGACGGGCTGGGTGCTCTGACATGCAGTAAGGAACAAAAATATGCACGCAACTTCTTAGTAACAGGCTTATTGACGATATGGCATTGCTGGACGTGTGCATTTAGTATATGGTTTCTACAATCTGCAGCGCGGTTCCATGGTCACCTGATATGTGCTAGTCGTCTATAAGCCATGGCAGTAAGCTAGAAGGAAAACATAACGACGTAACTTTTGTTTGAACCTAGTTTAGATATAGGTCCAATATGAAAGCTAGAATAAAGGGACCGGAGGTGCCGAAAATGACGGTTCTTAGGGCGTCGTTCTGTGCATGTGCTTTGCCTCTGGTCCGGCATTGATGGCTCAAGTGTGCCGGCCTATCGAGACCGCAGGCATAGCTGCATCCACAATCAGCGATAAACGCTTGATTTTCGGAATCAAAATATTCTGAAATTTTGTTTAAATTGATGAGCTTTATTTCCTTTTTGATTATTTCCAAGACTTGTTGCTGTTTTCGATATAAATCGTACTCCCGTATGCCGTGTGGTGTAGAACTTTAGAAATTAGGCTGCTTTGTTCTCGAGGGGCCTCCATTTCCTTTCGCGTCTTCCTTCTCAAAGTTTAAAGAGTTTGGTACATTTTTTACGCTTTCTCAAGCTGAATAAGCCAGTCTCTTTTTGAGTAAGAATGACCGCTTTAATCGAAGCTCTGGTATGGAGGAAGCCCTTCCTGGCAGCCCTCGTCGTGCTGCATACTACAATCGTCTTTGCTGCCACCCAGCCAGCAAGCTCTTTGGTCTCCAACAATGAGGATTCGCATGTTTTGCTGCAGTATGTCACCCCAGAGACAGCACAAGACATGCAACCTAAGCATGCCGCAGTGGATATGATTGGTCGTGCCTCACCGTCTGATGGCGAGATATCGCCGACCAAATTGACATATTTTCGAGGAAGCATAGAAAAATCAGATTATGCAGAAGATTTCAATCGTACCTTAGAAGACAACCGTATCTTAGAAGGCAATGCTTCGCTTATGGCTTCCAGTTCTTCAAGCTCGCAGGATCAGGTGGAAGGGGAACTACCCTTGGTCGAAGAAAACTCAATGCCTGCCGTCATCAGAAATCTACCAACTGTCGCAGCTGCTTCATCCGTTTTAAGCTCTACGTCTTTAACTGTATGGATTCGTCTGCTAAAATTCCTTAAGTTTATATCGAAGTTACCGAAGAAAAGCAACAAGCCAAAGTGTGAAGAGGAACCAGGCCAGAAGTACATTGCAAAGATTCTACACAAGGCAAAAGTATCGAAATGGTGGAAGAATAGAAATAGCACTGCGACAGACACTTCAGACGACAAAACGACATCCGAGGATGCCACCAATACGGTTACGCTGTCGAATGGGAACGAAAGCCTACAAGCGACGTTTGTCCGCGTGTTGGAAACAAATCCGCGTTTCGTAGATACGCTAGTCAAAGATGACTCAGGGCATTATTGGATTGGCAGGCTCTATACCGATGTTGAGGGAAATGATAGAGCGGTGGACTTCTTGGAGCAAGACTTTTTCATTGCGAAGATGGACCCGCAAGGGGAACCGCTTGCAACGTTTAGGCGTAGCCTAAAACTGGATATTCCAATTAATTTGTATGAGTTTCGGGGTCTCGGAAACTACGTGCAATCTCCAGACGGTCAGACCTTCCTCAACGCTGTTTCCCGCCGTCCTTACATACACACAACATCAGAGACCGTCATTGCCAATGCTGGATCCTCCACAAGAGGACAAAGAGCACTTTTAAGTATGTCCCAACAGGCCGTGCGTGCCGTCGCAACTCTCAACTGTGCGACTCTGGTTCATACGAACATCTATCCAAGGGCCTTTCTAATCACCGAAACGGGTTTGGTCTTCCTTAGTAATTCGTGGCAATCTGTTAGGAAGGGGACTACCCTGTCGGGAAATTCATTTGCTACAGCAGTGTTTGTTCCTCCTGAGCTACAAACGACTACTGACGATACAGAGCTGCCTACTGCATGCCCATCGCAAGACGCATGGCAACTGGGCATGACACTTTACACTTTCTGGTGCAAGTCGGTTCCCGTGACTTCGGGAGATACCATAGGTTATCAAAAATGCAACACAAGAATGCCTGAAGAGATGAAGAACCTTATTAGTGGATTCTTAAAGACTGATCCCGAGAGCCGGCTGCTTCCGGAGCTCGTCGCTTGGCAGGATCCTGCCATGTTGCTTCCCATCCCTCCAGGAACAAGGTCCAAAATCGATGTCGATCCAAACGAGGAGACGGATACAAATGTGGAGTGATATATTGTGACTTCGCTAGAACGATTTGAGGGGTGTCGCTTCCACCCCAACCAGGAAAAATGTATGCGAGTAACCTGGGAACCGTCATTGGGACTTTGCTTTCGTAATTCTAATAAAGCTCTACAGAAGTAGTCCAGCCTGTATCGGCCTTGCTTTACGATGATCAGTTCAGGCTTTAGAAGGAGGCTAGCTTCCCCAGTCACGATAGTCCTGTGGGGCATTAAAGACTGTTGGGTGTACAGCGCATGGATTAGTATCTAAGAAGCCAGATAATTTTCCGTACTAGATCGCGTGCCCGAATTTGCATCAGGCGGGAATATTCACCCCCGAAAGTTAGTACACTGGTGTAAGCACGAGCTGATGCATAGCCCAATGACTTGACAGTTATGGCGGAACAAGCTAGGGCGAGTCTGAGAGTCAGAAATAAAAGCTACAGTTTTAAAAAAAGTATTAAGACTGCCTCTGAAAAAGCCAAGAGACAAGGGTATCAATGCAGCACCTTTGCTGCTCGCACAGCAGGTTGCCTGATAGACAGCTACTGCACTAAAGCTTCCCCTAGGAGAACATGAAAATGCTGTTTCGCATTGATCACTGTAAGCGTCAGCTCATTTTTTTACTTAATTGGGGGCATCAGGGGATCTGCTGGCCAGCTCGCACGACGGCTGTGAAATTCCCACAAGTTGCGAGCAGTCTCCGCAAGGCCGCTTTTCAAAAAGATTGTAACGCTCAAAGAGCTGGCCATAGCAGGCCTTAAACGCGTCGTAGCCCCCAAGGAAGATGCCACCCCCGAGTGCAACCCATAGGCAACGCATTTTAACCCCAAGGAACAACGACGAGATGCCCTCATTCCGCAGCATTATGCGCAGGCAATGGCAGAGGCCTCGGTACTGCGACAGCATAAATCATACAATTCTAATCCCGCCCCTTTTCCCACCTTACTACACCGCTTGATACATGAAATTTCAGCGATGGCCGGTGCTAGCTGCTGTAACAGATTTCATTTAATGTAAGAACCTCAACAGCCTTGCGGCTACGAAAAAGGCTGTTTCATCAGCTCCACTCATATGCCACCCGCCACCCTTTGCCCTCGTCAGCTCTCATAACGGACGCGCGCACTATGTACAACCCTATTGGAGAACCAACCTGCTGAGTCCCTGGTTTCTGAGTCATCAGCCTTGTCTTCGCTACATCCATTGGCGTAGTTACTAGAGCAGCTATTGCCCCTGCAGCGCAGCATCATGTCTCACCTTCCCCAACTCAGAAACGCCAACGCCATATATATATTGACAGAGCGAAGACAGGAAACATGCACAAGGGGAACGGCATGCATGCGCCAGTGCGAAAGTTCCGGCCCTGTGGTGTGGTGGCCAGCGCGGCTACCACCTACCTGAAACCATTCCTGCCGCTCCAGAAACCACCGTAGAAAAGCGGGTATGAGGTGGGCTTTCCCCTGCACATACAGGACACCGCGCAATTACAGAGGTGATGCAACAAGAGCTGTAGCAACCCACTTGTTGTGCTCAATAAGAACAAAAGGAAGCCTCAATCAGATAGCTGCACTGCCTCCTCGAGGCCACAAGTCAAAAAGCCTGCAACAACAAGAATGAAGTATAGAAGAGCGCACCGAGAGTCTTCAATTTCATCCATTCCCAAATAGAAAGCTGGAGTGCGGCAAAAGGCACGTCTCGAAGCATGGATGCGCCCATGCCCACAAAAAATCCGCGGGTTCCTCCATGCCGCCATACAGCGGCAAAGCCTTCGGGAGTGGATTCATACAGGCCTAGTTGTACCTGCTGCTTCACAACCTCGAAAGGATTGCTGCAGCAGAAGCAAACATCACATGGAGTGGTCAGTCCAAAAAGTTGATTTTCCCTCAACAAAGCCCCAAATCGGCTTCATACAACCGGAGCAAAAAGAGGCATGTTCAGCGGGTAGGAATGGAAAGTGCTGAACAAACTTTTTAAAAACTGGCCTGTTCGAACTTTCGACCCCTGCTACCCCCCGTGCCCATTTTCCGATGGGGTCTCCCCTGCCTACCGAATGACGCAAGCACTCGCCTCCGCTACTGCAGCGGCCAGGATGTGCGTCATCGTGTGTGACGAGCAAGAATCTGCGGAATAGCACAAGTCGAACCTGCTTTCTATGATCGGTCATGCAGAATTACGTGCAGCTGCGAACTCGAGTGATGTCAGTGCCGATCAGATGCAGCAGGAACCGCGGCAGGATCAAGGGCAGCAGTAGCTGCTGCTGTGCTTGCTGCCCCTATGGGCTCAACATGAGTTCTACTCAACATCACTGACCTAGTGATTTTAGCTTGACCTTCGCCACTTCATAGACCAAGAAGAACCCAGCAGAGGAAGGCATGCTCCCCATCGCCAGGGCTGCAATCCCTCTGTAGCATGCACTCAAGCCACTGGGCCTCCCGCACTGACGCACAGCATCTAAAGACTTGCATGGTGTCGGTGACTTGGATTGGGGCAAGGCCGAAGTATGACCCGACGATGCCACAGAACCTGAGGCGCCATCTGCCCTGCCTATTAACCCTCTAGCCACACTATTAGCTGCAGGAGGAGCGGCCGCTGTGGCAGAAGACGGAGTTTTGCCCTGAGCATGCGTCTTGAGAAAATCTAAAGGAAAAAGAATCACGTCCGCAATAATCCCCGTCGAGGCTCCGGCCGCTAGAGCGACGACTGCAGCAGACCGCATCAAAAATTGTGCACCAGCAAGTCTTGTGCTTCCTGCCCCCGTGAAGGCCACGTAGCGAGAGAGCAAAGGGGTATGAACAGCGTAGAAGCACGAGCATTGAAGCGCGTAAGCTATCCCAGCAGGCAAGCAAGAGCTCAAGCCACAGCTATACGGGAGCATGCCCACTTTCGTCTTGAGACGCGGTCATCAGGTTAGCAAAGCAGGGACCAAATATGTGATACAGCCCTCCGCTGATAAAATTGCATCAGGCTGCTGGATTCTTCCGAAACCTTCACTGATTTCCACGAAGACAGGAAATCTCCACTGGGGACTGCTACACCATATAATTCAGAAGCCAATAGGAGCGCTAGGAAGAGAAAACGCCACAGTACTACGTGAAGGGCAAGAATACCCCCACATATTATAAGAATTAGTCGGATTTAACATGTAATAACGCCGAGCTTGGGGCAGGGGACAAGAGAGGCTGACTCGATTCCAATCTGCCGGGGCGACCTTCGTGGGGCCCAAATGGGGCCACTGTATGAGCAAAACTTCACACAGGCTTTTAAGATTTACAATGGTCTAAGACAAGGAAGTAAAAATGAAGAAAATAGGTTTTTGCCTGCTAAAATAGCCATTAGCAGGCCTGAACTCGGGAAGACATCGAGCTCACGCCCTTTTCGTGCTGGGGACCAACTTGCGGATTTTGTGTAAAACCATGCAGTCCCCAATAGAAAGGCGAATTGCTTGACGAAAGATAAAATCAGTTTTAATTGAGAACCGAAATGTGGAACTCACAAATTGGCCAACGCTTTATTAATACTAACTCAGCCACTTCAATCAGTGAACCACGACGGAGATAGAAAAACAGTGCTCGTGCATTGAGGCTCTATGCTTAGTGATGGAGACACTGGGACTCCAAACTGCCAATATTACATGCCAGAATTTTTGACCGAGTCGGACACATCCCAGATGTGAAGAAGGCTCAGCAAGAGCGATTCGGCAGGTTTGACGCATTCCTTATGAAAAGAAATTAGTTTGTTTGTGCTACGAATGTGCCCATTCATACAGTGACGCCCAGCTCCTCGACAGGCGTACCCACTGGATTGGCTTAGGTACGCAGTGATCAATTATTGCACGAAAATTCCACTCCTCGAGCATTTTCAGATCTAAGGAAACGCAGCACCACCCCCACTATGCCGAGCCTTCCCCGGTATTTGTGCAGTTTGCATTCAGGAAAGAGGCCTACTAAGTCAGAGGTAAGCATTATCTACGTGCAAAACAACCGGCTTTGAATAACAGCCGTCTTGGATTCGTTGCATAGCACGGTTTTCCACGAATCCACAGCCCTACATCCATGAGGATAATTCGAAACTTTGTTTCAATGGCCTCGTATCATCGCAGCCTAAATTTATTCTTAGGACCGAACGCTGATTCAGGCTGCAGTCAGGCGCATTAATATCCTCAAGCGCTGCCGCTTGCCAATTTCCTGCCTCCAACCGAATCGTGCAGCGGCCTAGGGACAGCAATACCCCCATAGCAAAATGCCGCACCCCAACCCCTTGCATGCCTACGAGGAGAAGCAACACTTTAGCAGCAAGAAACAACGGATGCGGACAACAAAAACGTGCGTCGTAGGACATAACACAGCGGAGCCACCAGATGCGCAGCAAAAGTCAAGTCAGACGAAGCTGGTAATCTCCATTTTGAGTAATGTATCTGACCCACGGAAGGGCTTGGTAGCCACTCTTCTCAATTATTTTGAGGTAACGAACGGTGATCCCTGACACAGTAAAGTACGGGATCTCAAAGATGACTTGAATCGGCCTCCGCAGGAAATTTCGTCTAGAATCGTCCTCTACAGATGGCAGCGCAAACGAAGCCGTCATGCTGTATTCTCTCTGCCCTTGGAAATGCCGGATGCTCCATACAAGGCAATCCAGGTCCGGAACATACTTCGCACTGCCAATGGTGGTCTTGAAATGTCCAGCACCAGCATCCGCTGGAACCGGAATTCGAATCTCGACACCCCCCGCCACTGAACGAGGCTTGAATTGGCTCCTTGCCCGGACGAGATACTCCAGACGGCTACCAGAGCTGCCCGTGTCCACCTGGCAGTCCACCCAAATAAGTGGCTTGACTTGAGTATGGAGTCGGTACGACATGAGCTCGCACTCTCCATCAGGTGGGATGAAGGAAATGGTTCTATCGTTCTCGAATCGCGCAAGACGCACGCATTGGTGAAACTTCACATCCTCCATCTCTATGGATCTACCTCGGCCCGTCGACTTCCCACTGTTTTCCAATACTAGCTTGTCATTCAATCCAAGTTTCAGCTCTGGCATGCCTGAAAGAAATGATTTCATCTTGAGTGAGCCGAAGATTTCCGACCTCAAAACATTTCCGTTTGCCGCCACCAGCAAATCGAGCTTTTCTACAACGTCCAAAAAGATCTCATTCTTCTTATGCACAATACCCTCGGATCGCCATGATACCGCATTGGTCATTGCGGTAGGCGGCCGAACCGCAGCAGTGGAAAGCTGGTGAGCCTGGTTTTTTATGAACTCGCTCAAGACCTTAACCTCCGTAGTCTGGGGGTATCCATTATCCAGCATCTCGTCTAACAGCTCGTAAGTGATGACGAAGTTGTCACGAAGACTTTCCTCTGCAAGTTCGTGAAAGTAACTCGTTAGCACTGCACCCAGTTTGTGCAGGAAGGCCAGAAGCATTATTGCATTGGCATTGCGACGGGTAAGCGCAAGCAAGTAGATATTCCTTAGCTTCACCCAGCAATACGTCACCCCCTCATCTTCGAATACAGGTGTCACGGCCGCCTCATCCTGCTCAAGGACGCGGCTGACGAACCGTTCCCCTACAGCCAGAGAGACGTCGCCTCGATAGTCACGGCCAATAATCACTTTTCCGCGCCCATCCAAAACCAGCACAGCACTGGCTCCCACCATCGTCACCGGCAAACCGGGAACCAGTACCAACGACAGACAACTGCAGCTCCGATCCGGCCCCCTTGCCGCAGTCCTGCCACACAGAGACCTCCCAGAACAATTTTCAAGTATTCTTCGACTCAAAATGTGGGCAAAATAAGGTACCAAATGCTGCCTTGTTTGCTGTTGCCGCTTCGTAGCAACAGTGTGAAGAGCAATTGCCAGCGCTGGGAAGCTGCGCCGATTAGGTGACAGCGGGAGATCCCATGGGCTTTCTTATTCAATAAAGCCTCTAGTCGCATTTCATACTTTGCTGCGCCCCTTTGCAAATGGCTACAGCTTATGATATTTACCACCGAGCGCCAACCCTTGCGGCGCTGTCGCCGACTTCGTGGCTGCAGTGCCTCGCATGCAGTGGCCCCTGTCTTCGGGATGTTTCCTTGTCTGTGCTCTTTTCATCATTTTCTGTGATTCTTTCCGAGTATTCTAACAGCCGACTGACAGAGGCTTACAGCTGTTTGCAACTTCACAACATCCTAAATGGTCCAAGGCATATAGCAACGTGGCCTGTGAGATTGATAGAGAGTAGTGCTGTCGCCCATCGATAGTGCTTCGAAAGTGTCTACAGTTAATAATTTACAAGCATCTCATATTTTCCCCGAAATGGGACACAATAAGTGAATATTTGGCCAGAAACACGTCTTGCCTTGGATGCGTACACATATGGTGACGCAGCCGCCGCTTTAGCATTGTGTTGCCTCTAGACCGATATACTCTGATTTGCTCTTTTTCGATTGATTGCGAGGTTTGCGCAATGTCGCATTGCACCCTCTTGAAGATTTGTGCGTGTATCCTACGTATCTGGAGGCAACGAAGTAGTCCAAGAATAAGCCTAGCTATGTTCCTTCTGTCCCTCTTCCGCTGATACTTAATCCCCTTTGGTCTTGGGAAAAGTGAGATAACGTATTTGTTCGAGCTGCTTATGCAGACCTTCAGAGGTTCTGACAAAATTTATAATGCTCTCTATAGGGTCCACGTAGGGAGGTACTTACATCCAGACTCAACAAAACATTTATAGAAAGTTATTGAGTGTTTCTCAAAAGATGGTCCCATCTTCCCCTGCCCCCGCCTATCAGTGTTTCTGACATGACGTGAAATGGGTAAGTCAGGTGCGCGTAGCTGCACTCTCTCGCCACTCTGAGCAGTCACAGCTAGTGGCACTTAGCATCTAGCGCACAAGCACACAACATTGCGTCTTCGTATATCGAGCTTACCGCACTCTGAAACAAATTAGATGTACAAAGAGACAATCCAATAAGTCAATTCTTCCTAACTTGTAAATAAGTTTGACTAGCGGGTAGAAAACGTCGAAGTGTTTCATGTCCCTCTACAGAAAACCTACGCCTTGTGCAAGAATCTTGCTATCAGGGGCCCTGCAACCATTTCATTAGCGCTAAGAAAAGCTTCTCGTCCACACCGGTGAATACGTCACGAGGTTTTTTTCGACCAGAATAGTGGCATTTTCCCCTCTAAACTGCCAGCCTGTACTCCCAGCTTCTTATGACAAAAGAATTCTATGAACCTTCCTCTAGTTTCGAACTCCTGCTTCTCGGTGCTTATGAGTCTGTTAAGTCGTTCACCATTTTTAACACTGCAATAAGCAGATAAATGAGTACACTGCCTTTTTTCCAACAAGAAAGCATACCTCTGGGCACTTCCTTGTTGAGTTTAATGCTTCGTCTCCCCATCATTTGTGTTGCTAATGCTGATGCTCAAGTTTAGCATTCAGTATTTCAAATCCACGGCTCTTTGTTGCCATTGAAACTTTGTACTCTGATACTTGAAGATGTCTTCTGCGATTTTTCCTCATGCATTCTCGATGTAGCTTCTCTTCTACGTGCTTGGGGTGCTCAACACAGCTTGCCATAAAACTGAAATATGGTCATACAAAAACGGGTGAAATATATATTACATCTCATTGCAGACGTCGGCATTTCAATAAGCATTTGTTCTTTTGGGAACTCCTGTACCTGGGATGTTCCTAGTACTGTGGTCCCATCGCGTCTATACATTTAGGTCGTAACTCCTTGCAACTTCACTTCGCGGATAATTTTATCACTTATCCCCAGCTGGCGTTCAATAGCACTAGCCGTGGTCACCATTTTCTGTAACTCCTGTATGCATTCATGCAGTGCGAGTTGAAAGCCGCCTCGAAACGCATAATTGACTCATTTACCAACAGAACTACCCAAAAGTCTGTCTCCCCTAACACTACTATCTTACCGGGGTTTTGTTTTCAGGGCTTTTCCTGGAGGTAGCAAAGCGAACGGCACTGATTCCAGCACGGGTAAGCTGTGTACAGCTAGCTCTTCTTGGTGGCCGCTTACTTGCCCTTGTTTTTAAGTCACTGTGCTCGATCCTCCCATGGAATCGTCTTTTTTCCATAAAATTAGGTTATCTATTAGAGGATGGCCCTTGCATGGTTGAGGCCAGCCAGGTCGACTGTTTGCCGTATGCTTTGTCGCTCATTATTCAAATGTGTTGACGTACCAGATTTTAGCTGGCCCTTCTACTAAGTAGTTGGGCTCAGCTTAACGATAATTTTGTGCCAAATGTACCGTAGATGAAACCTAGGAAGCGAGGGAATGCTATACTGAAGTGTTCGGTGTAAGCGAAAATTTTGCTAGGCCTTATAAAAAGCCATGGTGGCGATTGGAAACATACGCCAGAGCAACTTTTTGCCCGTGGCATTGCATACTAGACATAGTACTACCATAATTAAAAAACTAGGAAGATGCCGTTTTTAGTGGGGAAACAATTCGCTGTACGCAACCCCGCCGCCTTGAACGCGAGTGACTATTTTCGCATACTACACTGGTGATCACATCTTCTAATACATGGACGTGCTGTTACTATCCAGCTTTCTGCATGAATCCATTGTGGGTCTAGGTGAACTAAGTTCCAATCGGAGATAAACGATGAGCCTCTTTTAGACATTTGCTATGTCCCACCGTCATGTAGGATTCCATACCACCCGCATAAATACCTCCACACTAAGATTTCGAGATGGTTCTCGTAGGAAGAAATACTCACACTGACACTCATGGCTACAAAATTTTACAAATTGGGTGTAAGTACCACAGCCTACAGGATATGTCGTTGGACATGGCTTTTACTTTTAAAGCATATTCAGGATCCTCTGCCAACCTAATAGCACATTTGCTGTTATTATGGTTAAAAGATAACACAGAATACTGCAAAATGTTCCCACTAGAGCTTGGCCTTCACGGCTACGGCGATTGCCTATCCACAATCTGTTTCAAACCTTCCAAATGCTCCTCAGGCTAGTGCTGCTCATCAAAGAAAGAGCCATTCTGAGGACAATAACAAAGTGTGTGGCGGTGTAAGTCATCCTTCTTCTAAACCTAGTGGAAAGGACCGAAGTTGGCTGGACGTGTTGCAGCTCGTCGCGGCTGCTCTGCCAACATCACTGCCCACGCCATCTAGGAAACGCATACTTAAAGCCGAAAATCCAAACGTCATACTAACATACTACAAAAACATCAGAGTGTGATAATTAACACAATTTGCGTCTCCTTCTATGCGTGAAGCGATCGCGTGCTTACGCATGGTCTCTCACGATGTGGTCCGCTGGGGAACGGCCCCAAAAGAGACTGAAATTGCTACATGGCAAAGTGGATACACAACAGCACTATTAACTCTGAATATTTAAAGCCTACACTGGAATACTTGCCATAATTCGGTGCGTTCTTACCTACAGTGGCATCTGGGGACAACTGCACATAGGGGTATGAGAAGGGGATGCTGCATAGTGTGTAATGCGATCATTTTTTCAAGCTCATTGCACATAAAAATTCCTCCGTAGTCAACGTGCATAGAAGAGCGTAGTTCACACCTGGCGTGATACATTACAAGGAGGAACCCGTGCAGCAAACCGAGGTTAGGGAATCGATGTCTTGGCAGCTGAGCCGCTAACTTTAACAGGCTTTGTGGATGGAAAATATCATCAAATCAGCCCAGAATTGATCTTGTGGGCAAAATCCTGGCATAGACGTCGTGCAGTCCATGAACTTTGGCGTTGGCTCCTGAGTGCGTACGTCATCTACCTTGGTTTCCAACCAATGGATCCGACAAAATGTGGTTTTACAGTGCTGTCGGAGGAGAGGGAAAAGTTGCTTCCAAGCTCCATTAGGTATTGAGTTCAGCGGAATGCCGTATCTGGATTCTACCCATATTCCGGCTTTCTTCTCTTTTGACATACTCGTTGCCGTGAAACGGGTGACTTGCCGAGGGTGGTGTCACAGGAAGCGGGGTCTAGCAGCTACCTGTAGGCATTCAGGAGGCTTCTCGAGCTTGTAGAGAAATATTGCATCTCAGGCTTTCAAGGGCTCATTCTGGCCCAAGAAAAGCAAAGGCACAACACGGGGGCTCCTCCTGATTTGTCCAATTTGCTCTGAGGAGTCAAGTCTAGAACCTGCGGTGCATACGGGCATTCTACAATGTTCCGAAACTGCAGCAGGCTTGAGACGTCCCTTAAGTAGCTGGCATCCAAGCACCTTACAGTGCAGCAACTGCAGAGTTCCTCGTCCAAGAAAACTGGCAACCTACGAACCCTTCAAAACTCGTGGGACGCGGAAAGCAAATAGCCCAGTGTTATGGTGTGGGAAAGGTGGATAGCTTATATACAGTCTTAAGGCCGATACAAGGATACACTAAATTGCCAATATGCTTGAGAATCATGACAAATGGGAGGCGCATTGAAGACACTGATCCAACATCAAATAGGCAACAACAATCGACCGAATATCGCCAAGAAGAGCTGCAATTCAAACGCCTTTACCTAACACGAATCGGTGATGGCCACTGATAAGCTCCGAACCTCAGTTCGTTGCATAAGATCCGGAGATTGGGGTAAAAACCCTAAATTCACCAAAGGATCAACTAACCTCAGCAGAGGAACTAAATGAATTTTTGTGTGTGGAATCGCTGCTTACAAAGGA